TTTGGCTTGAGGTGCTGGAGCTCCCTCCAGCCACTGCACCCACCTCCTAGTCCCATCTCCTTCCAAGAAGCTCTACAAACACATAACGAGGCCACTTATTTCAGAATTGACAGGAAGACTTACAGCATATTCCTATAAGGTCAGAGGTCAACAGGACTTGATATGTCTCAGACCTACATTATTCCCCCTCTGACCCACACAAGGAGACAGATTCTGGTCTGCTGAGCTGATGGATCACACTCACACACATGCACACACCCAGAGACCATGCAAAACAGTCCCAAATCACACATTTGAGATTACAAAACTCAGGACGGACAGTTCGTATGCTCACAAAAGGCAGAGGCAACAGGAAAAGAAAGTTCACATTTTCACCCCGGTGTGATAAATGATTGAAGACCGATGTAGGGTTGTGGAGAAATGAGGCAGTGGTGTCACTGTGATGAATGAGTAGTTTCATCCTCTTTTTTTTCTTTTCCCTCAGCCATGGGAGTGATTATGTGTCTATCATCCATTTGAAGATGTATCTCTGAAGCATCACTCGTAGTTCGCTGAGCCTGTTCTCTGCAACACATCGCCAAGATGGTACTTGACTCTGTAGGAAGAAGTCGCGGTGGGATGCGGATGTTATTGCTGTCTGAGTATTGCTTCGCGTCTAAAAAATAACTACCAATCACAGGCTAGTTATTGCTGAATAGGAAATAAGGACTTGACGATTTCGAGAAGGTTGCAGACCTGTTTTTAAACCAAAATATTCTGGAGAACTAACTCAGAGCAGCTGAGGAGTGATGTGGAATGATCATTATCAGAGCATCTGAAGCAAAATGCTGAAACAAAAACCTCTCCTGTGACCTTGGTGCAATGATTTTAGCTCTTTCAATGTGAGGTATATTATACATAAACACAATTATTTGGGTCATGGCGACATCAGGAAACCACGGCACATTGCCTGCAGCGACCTGTGTGACCTACCACACTGAACTCGGGAAGAGCAATGAGGGACCTGCATGCAAATTAAACCGGGCCATTACATGCACACCTATTAATGAGGTTGAGGCTCTTCGGGAGGGAAACATGATCAAATAAAATAAACAGTATAATTTTGCTACTCTGGTTCCATTTATTTGATCAGCTGTGTTAATTTCACCACCCATGTTATTCCTCAGCTGTTTTTCTTTTATATGTTTGAAATGTAAATCTCCCCTCAGGAGGTGGAGGAGGAGAGGTATGTAGTCATGTTATTTAATCCAACAGGCCTCTATATGGTTTGATGCCTCCATCCATACTAATAAAAAAATGAAAGAGGGGGCTAATGGGGAAAGTCTCTCAAGTGCTTTGTCTTGGCCTTCAGAGATGCGAGCTGAACTAAAATACCTCCAGAAAGGGTGGAAAAAAGGGATGAGAACATGAGAGAGGGGAGAAAAGAAAGAGGGAGCGGCTTGATTTCTTTCCGTTGAGAACGCAGGGCGCAGATCAGAGAGCTCCGGGTCTATTTATAGCTCTCCGCGGCTGTTTAGCTTTCGACGCACGTTCAGAGTGCAGCAGCAGAGCTGCCGGGTTGCTGCTGCTCCAGACGGGCTTTGCTGTGGAAATGCCTGCGTACTGAGCCGCGGTCGGCTCCCTCCCTCCTTCCTTCTCCGCTCATCACAAACTAATGCGCCGTGAGGTTTTTACACAAACACACACGCAGGCGCAAACTAACAATTCCTCCCTGTTGGTGGAAAATAAGCACATGTCCTCAAGTGGTCCGGTTCCGCTTAGTGTATGCATGTCTTATATATACAGCTGCTGCCTTTAACATGTGATGCACTCAGTGCTCTCTGCAGACATGAGGAAGGGTGTGGCATGGGTTGAACGGGAGGAAGTCCCGATAGTGGTCTTTATTGGGGAAGACAGTGAGATACTTTGCCCTGTGGTACGTGTATCAAAGAAAAAAATGCCATCTAGCCATCCATCCATGCATCCATTTGGCTGTGGATGATTAACCAATCTGCGTCTGCCAATGACATCTCCAGGCCAGAGCTCAAGCCACAGCCCTCCACTACTGCCCCGGACCTCCTCTGCTGCTGCTCTCTCTTTGGCACTGGTAAGATCCAGTGAGGAGCAGAGCTGACCCAGGTTGCCTCTCTTTCTTCCCACCTGGGTCTGCTTGGTCAGACATCACTCGGAGTCCGTGCACGGTGGGCCACACTGGTGGGAACACAGCCACAGCACACCAGCCACAGCGCCTTCTGAATCTCCTGGTTCCTGAAGGCATAGATGACCGGGTTTATGACCGAATTGTAGGTGGCAGGCACCAGTGTGGCGTAGGTATAGAGCGGCGGGTACGTGTAGTCAGCGATGAGCGAGTAAACAGTGAATGGCATCCAGCAGGCAGCAAAAGTACCCAGGATGATGGCTAGGGTGGACACGCCCTTTCGGGTTGTGACGTAGTGGGGTGTGGCAGCCAGGAAGTGGTGCTGCAGGGCGATTTGGTGAGCGTGGCGCATCACGATCTTGCAGATCTGGACGTAGAGTTGCAGCATGAGACCGAAGAGCAGCAAGAAGGAGACAGACAGCACGGCGATGTTATTTTTTGTCAGCGGCCGCACCACGCTGCATGTAGCCGCCTCTGCTAGGCAGTTGACCCCTGTGACGGGCAGCAGGCCTAGACAAAGGGACAGGCCCCACAGCAGCACAAGCATGGTGTAGGTGAAGGCCGCTGTCCGCTCTGAGTTGTAGGTGAGGGCGTAATACAATGATAGGTACCGGTCAATAGTGATAGCCAGCAAGCTAAAGACAGAAGCAGAAAATGAGGCCACTATCAAGCCCACAGTCAGCAACTGGGCTGAATCAGAGCGAAGCAAGTAGGCACAGGTGAAGTGCAGTACGAGGCCCAGGCCGGCCAGCAGGTCAGCCAATGCCAGGCTGCCAATCAGCAGGAACATGGGAGCTCTGAGCGCCGGGTTCTGCCAGATCACAAGCACCACCAGAGCATTCTCACAGGCTATCAGAGTCCCAGATGAGCATAGCACAATGTCCCAGGGGTTGACCAGCAGCGGCAGCTGGCTGGGCCGCAGGGAGTCTTCCGGTGGAAGCGTCCCCAGGCTGGTGCTGTTGTCCATTGGTCCACCACCTCCACTGGCCCAAGCTGTGGAATCAGGAGCCAGCCAGCTGGGGGTGACTGGTGGCTCTTCACTCATTGTGCCCCCCGTCTGAAATTGACAAAAACAAATACAGGTCACTCTGATGTTATGCATACTTTGATGGCCAAAAAGAGCACAAGAAGCATCATATAAACCGGCCACAAGTGCCTCTTTTTCTATGTTTTGGGCTTTTTACACGGGAAGACAAAAACAGGGGCTGTTTCATCAGTACTGTCTGCATCGTACATCTCAATCCATGCTGTTAAGACCCAGGGTAACTCATTCCACAGACAGTCAAGGTTATATACAGTGCAGGTGGTGCACAGAACTTTAGGAGCAAATTAGCAAACCCTCACATTACCTCAGTGTTGCTTGAATTAAATAAAAGAAAAATCTGTATTTTTCATTTTCATCCTTTTAAAACAATAAAAGCCTGCGCTGAAGAAATACGCTGCTCCATACGGCTAACTGGTATTTTCCTTTAGGAATTTAACCCTTGACTGCTAAGGAGATTATAACATTTTTTTAATGTGGCAAGAGAAAAAAATCCCAAGAGGATAACATAAAGCAGAGCATGCTTTGCAGAAAAAAATCCCAGGCCAAGACAGCCAAATATCGATAAACTACCAGAGGCGATAGCAGTAAGTTAATTCACAGACAAGTCCCGCTCTCCACAACAGAAGACACCGCACCCGTTATTTCAGGAATTGCTTGTTTCTTCCTCTCATACCATAAGTGCCGTTTTATCCTGTGCACCTTGCATAAGAAACACACTGGCTGCTCCACGTCAGCAAAAGGATGCTGTAGGGGGAGGAAAAAACCACACGCACACACACAGGCGGCATCTTTCCATGCATGTCAAGGATGCTCAATAATGCGCCTCCACACCCAGCCTACCTTGACTCTGTGAGCTGAGACTTCCCGGTCTAAATTGAAGAACGACAGCCTGACATTTCCACGGTATCTCACTGTGGACGGAGACGCAGCTCGGGAGAGGGGAATAAATGGAAGCAGAAAAAGAGCGCGGAGCGGCTCAACCGTTAACGGCGCATCGCTGTGGACTGCGGCTGTGCAGGGAGCAGCGAGCGGAGCAGCGGCGGAAGAGATGAAGAGGAGGTGTGAGTGCGAGGGGGGTGGAGGGGTGATGAAGGAGGAGGAGTCCCAAATGGGCCAGATTGCCAGAGACCGGGTAAACTCAGTTAAAGAGCTAAATGTGTCTAGTCCGTGGCGTCTCAAGGACAAAGACAGGTGTGAAGCGCGCGTACAGGTGTCTGCGCTCTAGTACGGCACGGTTCGCTTTTTCTGACACGATTTCCGTGCAAAGAGCACACATATGATAGTGCAACACTGGATCCTAATCTCATGAGGTTTGATCACCTGATCTGCAGGGTTTTGTTAGTTTCTATGACCCCTACCCGGCTTTTTTCTCCTTTTTGCTACCCGACTCGTTTCACGCGTGAAGGTGCTGGATGCAGAGGCTCGGTTTCCTCCCGCGACGCCCTGCTATTCTGGTCCCGTCTGTGCTATTAACAGCTACCCAGATGTGTGTCACCCAACCTCCTCCCGTTCCCGCTGTCCTCCATCTTCTTTGTCACATCCCCTTGCACCTCTGCCTCAGAGACACCTCGTGTGAAGTGAATCGGGTGGGGAGGTGAATACACCTGACTACACTTAACTGACCATGCAGGGGGTAACAACGGCTGTGCGCGTTTCTTTAAAGGCACCTGTCTTTTTGGGCCTGAATGGATTAAAAATAGCTCCTGTTGTAGCGGGAAAGCTGGAATACCAAGTAACACCACTAAGGGGCGATGTTGAGTCCCCCATATGAGTCATCAGTGTGCACCTGTGGGACTCGAAAAAGGGAGCACACCCAGCCTCATTCTTACTGGCTTTATTTCTTTTTCTTTAAAACAGAAAATGATCGCTTCACAACAGGCCTTTTTTCAAGCAAACCCTCACATTAAGCTTGCCAACACCTACAAAACGGTATCAAAAGTGCACCATAGTGTTAATACGTCTTCTCAAGGTCTAACATTTTCCTATGATAATTTTATCTTCTTGTAATATTTATACAAATACCATTCTGTACACTGTAGAAATACACAGCCTGGTGTGTCCTCTATGTGGGACACCCACCCACTCCCCCCAACAATTGATCTTCCTTTACATCCATGATCCTCTCTCAGTACGTTCCAGGTCACAATGTGGGGGGTGAAGACACCAGGCCAATGTTACATCATATGAATTATTAAATACCCATTCAACCCACACCCAAAGCAAAAACTAAAACGCCACTCATACAACCAAGAAACATCTGTACAACCCTCATTCAAAGTCTTTTTCTTTTTTTAAAAACAATCTTGACACAGTTTGCATTCAGTATCGTCTTATTGTCCGAGCAGCAGCAGCAGCAGCAGCAGCGGATCATGGGCGGGGGGCTGTGGAAGGGGCAGGAAGGACGGGGTCAGGCTGGTACGTATGGGGAATTTCCACAGCTGAGCTGCACTGCCGAGTGTGTAAAAAGCACAGGTATGGATTACAGCTGTGCAGACAGGTATGACACCGTGCAGGCTGCTGTGGTGCGTTTAAAGTCTGCCGCCGTCCACGGAGAGGAAACAGAGCATTTCTCTTGGGTTATGCAGTAACACACAAGGATCCAAATTTAGTCTCTGGACTGATAAAAGAGGATGTAGCCCGACTCAGAGTTCTTGGAGATTTCAGAAGTGAGACCGTAGAATTCTTCTATGGCCTGTGCATCGATTTTCTGTGGAACAGAAATGGAGAATGATTTTCTTTAGAAATAGAGGCTTACAGTGAACTCTAAATCACACAAACACACAAATAAACTCGCTCACCTCTACAATATCGTCATCAAACAGCAACCAGAAGTCGTGACTTTTCACAATGGCAATGTAGTGACCCCTGTTTGGACCACTGAAGAGAAATAAAACAGCACATTAGCTCAGCAAAGTCACTTTTAACCATTAAGCCTGACAGGAGATTTATATTTCGGTGTTAAAACTACACCCTAATCTGACATCCAACTCCCTGGAAATGTAACAAAACCTCGTGATTAGCCTGTTCGGTACTGTTAATTCTTCCTGTGCATTTCCAGCTACTTTTCCACTGCAGTTTTTGAATGAATCAGTAAGAATAACAATCATCACCTCAATATGAGGACAGAGACGTCAGCAAACTGATGGAGGGAGATTTGCCAAAACGACTTGAGTTTTTTCCCCCCAACAAGCACTTACTCAGGTCCACTCAGTTTGAGCCATTTTCCCCATTATGACTGAGTACCACTTTAATATGGGTGGGGCTGTCATAGAAAGGTGGCCCGAAAGCCCAATGACATAATTTGTATGCAACACAAACCCAAGAGAACAATGGAGGACATCGAGGCTATGGCGTACATCTACCACTTACATACGTTAGTTACATTGTATACTCTGCAAAGATTCACTGCACAAGTCTAAAATCAACAGTGACCATCTCAACGTGGAGGTTTGTAATAATACAACAGATTCAGTAGCATGCGAAAGAAAGGGTAAGAAATGACTTCTACATTACCAATTTATAAGCACTAATGGATTAAAACACTCTGTATATAAAACACTCAATATAAATCAACACTCTTCACTTGAAGTGAGTCATCTGCATTTGTTTGGTTTTCAGACACTTCTCTACTGCTAAGTGCCAAGACGGGTACAATCAAAGCTTTAACTATTAATTATGAAAATGTTAACACGACTGCAAGCAAGTCTGGTAAGTACAACAATATGCCAGGAAGTGCCTCAAGCCCTTTTTTGTATAAAACTGAAATCGAAAGCAGTTATTAATTCTGTCTAACTCGACTAACCTCAGCTTCACCTGTGCAGCTTTGATGTAACACTTTCTATTCTTATGATGCAATAAGCCTGACGAAATGATAGGAAAGGGTTAGAAAACATATCATAATTTGATGTTTCTTAATGTTGCCGAGTTTAAGCAGGCAAGCTTAACAATGCAAGCTTTGAATCATCATTATGAGACCAGTTATTAAAAGTGTCAGCCTGATTGTTATTGTTTAGGTCTCCTTTGTGCCTCTGAAACAGCTGTGACCTGTCAGAGAGCGGACATTGGAGTACACAGTGTCCTGTGGGTTGTGAGGCCAAGATTTATCACATTGAGGGTTAGAGTTTCCCAGGAATACTCTGGGTATAGGTACATCGCAGCTACCAGAGCCTGATGGAGCATTTCAGAAGTGGCTCCCCGTGTTGCATCTTTCAAAAACGGTACGGGGTCCGTTTTTTATGTTAGCTGTGTCACAGAGCAAGTGATGAGGACAAGAAATCAGAGAATCCACACACCCACTGTATTCCTGGTTTTAGTCTGTTAGTTAGTTTTTGTGGTAAGGAGGGCACGCTGACTTGCTGGGGGAAGACTCTTGGTGTACCTTGTTTCTGGTCTTTGACAAAGTTTCGGTGAGCATAATGCATAAAAGTAAAATCTAGCAACTAATGTGCTGAAATCTGAAAAGTGGGATAGAGCCTGGGGCTTCCATTACAGAGAATGATTGGCAGACTATGTGGCTGATGCAGTTGCTTCTACCAACTCAGGTTCCTGGAAAGTTTTGCAGTAAAAGCCTGTTAAGATATTTTATGACCCCTAAATATAAGTATGTCCAGACAGGTGGAAAAACAAGTGGCGGATGTGCGGTGAACAGCTGGCAGACCACTACCATATATTTTAGAGTTGCTGTTTATTTTGCTTTTCTGGGAAGAGATAAAGGGCAATATAAACTGTACTTGGAAGACAGATGTTTTTTTTTGGTACGGTTCATCTCTGTAACATCATGAGCAGTTCACCTGTCAAAGGTAAACACTGAAGTATTTCACTTGCACCCAGTAAGAAGGCAATAAGGAGTAGAAAAGTGAACCCCCAATTAAGAATGACTTGATAGTGTCATTCTTCATTCTCAATAGTGAGTAATGTTCATTAAATGGAAATATTTACTTTCTCTTTACATTTACGGACTAACCAATTTACAAAAAATTGAGAGAAATTGATGCATGATATAATTGTCGGTTTTATTTCTGTGACTAATCAGCGGCTTTAGCCTTGACCATCAATGTCATGCTACGAATTCATCCCTGGAATTTAGTTCGACAGGAGACAGAAAAACTCAAGTGTAATCTATTATTCCTAAAACAGCTGTGGAAAACTGGACTCTGTTTCAGCATCCACTTGCTGAAAAGCAGTGAAACACCTTGAATAAACACTGACAGACTAACTCCCAGTGACACTGGGTCAAAGGCAGTACAGACATAAAGGAGAACACAGCTGAGCATTGATGGAAACTTAAATGAGCTAAACTTTGTCATATCTACTTTATCTACCTCATTTCCACTTCTACAGCCAGATTAGAATCAGCAGTTAACCTACTAACATGCACGCCTTTGGACCATGGGAGGAAACCGGAGTAGCTAGAAGAAAGGTAGTAACACATAGCAAGCTAACACCACAGGCGCCTCAGGAAGGTTCAAACTAAGGTAACTGTGCTAACCACTGCACCACCCATGCACAAGAGTCTACATGTTGCCCTATGAGATTCAGATGTAATGCAACTTTACTCTTGAGCCTACGGGTTCAAATGTATTTTATTATTAAAACAAAGAATTAAGTGTTTATCTCTCTATACCGGTTATGTGTTCACATACACACCTCCCACAATGCACCACCACGGCGACCAAGTCATACAGCCTCTCAGGATTGGTGGCGTCCCCGGAGGTGTTGAAGAGGCGGAGTTCCAGGGGGAAGACGACGCGATAGGACAGCTTGGTGTAGCGTTGCAGCTGCTCCATGTATTTAAAGCGCTTCAGGTGCAGAGCTAGGATCATCGGCAGCTTCTTTACACGCATCCTACATTAAAAGAACAATGACGAGTGCAACGCTGGATATAAATGTCCAACCACAAACAAAATCATACATTAAAAATGAACCTATACACTGACCTCTTGTGTGCCTCCTGCTTGCTTCTACATTCTTCACAGTAGTATTTGTACTCACTGCACAGTGTCTCTGTGTTACTAAAACCTCTGAGAGGAATCAAAAGAGAAAATCGGTCAATTTTAACTCCACATTTAAAAATACAACAAAATGCAGGGTGTGACTCACTTCCAGTTAATAACAGGCCTTTTTGCAGGAGCTATTCTGACATGAAATGGCCGGTAACAAAAATGTTAATAATAACAACTTCAGTCTGACTTAAGTGGGCTTCAACAAGATGTGTTAGGAAAGATCTAAAATGGTTGCAGTTACTTGATCTTTTCAATCGAAAGACAGTGAAAATTATCCATTTCAGTTTCCAGGAGCCCAGCCTGTTGTCTCCAGATGGCTTTGTTTTGTCTAACCAACAGTCCAAAACCCAAAGAAACGAAGTGTAAGAAGAAAACAGGCAGCAAATGCTATCTTTTAAGAGCCTGGAACCATCAAATAGGTGTCATTTTTCACAATCGTTGCACGGAGCTACTAATCCTGTTCCTTCAATTGCTGATGCAGCAGTGTTGCTTTACCTGAGGCAGTGTGTGATGGAGGTATTCTGTTCTACATCAACAGAGAGGTCCAGAAAATCCTCATCTTTGCTGCTTATCTGAAAAACAAAAAACAAAAACAAAAAAGACTTGTAAAGGTTAGAATAACTGTTAAACTACACGGTCAGGTCTTAGGTTTTAATTCCTTAAGTTAAACAATGTTTGCACAAAAACTAAGCTCTGTGGTGCCACTGCAGCTTTATCCTTGCAAGCATATTGAACAAATCTGTTTAGCAACCGTCTTGTTAAGATGATATGACACCTTATGTGTCAGAATGAAGTGAAGAATCTCACCGTTTCACAGGTGAGGCAGCGCGTCTCATTGGTCAGAGTGCCTTGGAAGATCTCATGGACCCAAGTGGGGGCAGGTGTGGCATTGCTGTTGTTGTTCTGCGAGTCCAAAGTGCCATTGGCCAGGCGGCCGTTTGTCTTCTCCTGCTTCCTCTCTTCTTGAAGCAGATCAGCAATAGTATTCAGCAGGTAGTTTAGGAACTCGTGAGCATCCTGCTGCATGTAGTTGTCAAAGAGCTCTGAGGAATAAAAATCGCAACAAAAAGCAGCATTTTTAGCGTTTCTCCAAGTTCAGAAGCAACAACAACAACAACAACAACAGGATGTCTTGCTGTCAGGGTTGGGCGGTATAAACGGTATATTGTTTTGGTCGAAAGCATTGCAGCTACAAACAACATCATCTGCAAATTATGCCGGGCGGCAGTAATAGCAAAGAGAAGCACTTTTGGAATATGGGGAAAGCCAAAACCTGAGCTTCCTCCACTTTCAACATTAATGTTGAATTCTCTCGCAGCTGCTCTATTCCCATGTTGGTGCAGTATATTAATGACTAACCTCTTATTGTGGATGGATGGATTATCTCAGTTGTTCTCCTGACTGAAGTTTGGTCCGTTTTTAGGATCCTGCCATGTGATTGCATTTGTCCCTAACCACCAGAAACTCTCACGTTAACTTTCATCGAGTGGAAAAAAGTTAGCGTTCATCCTCGAGCTTCACTGTGCTAATGTTATGCTAACGTAGCTGTGTAGCTAGCGATCACGTAGCACAACATTATATACCAGCTAGTCCAACTTCAGTCACTGCTGTTTAGTTTTCTGTCTTCATTTATGTTGGAAGTGATAGCAGAGCTGTACGTTTGAATTTTTTCAGACATCTCTCAGTCAGAACATGCTATATCATGTTTAGGTGGAAACTAGCCAGCTAACTTTCTGTTAACTTCTAACTCTGTTAAATGTAATAAATTCTGTTTTCATGGATGCCTGGATGTTAAACTTAATTGTTACACCTGGTAAAGCAGCAACGCTGATCATTTTATTAAAGATGAAAGAATTTAGACAGTTTGTAACTCTCAGTGATGCCGCAGTGTTCCTTTGACTTTGGGACCTGAAGCAGACGGAGTTTTGGACCCAGATTACTCTGCAAGGCTCCTGACTACGGTAGCTGTAATGCTCTGGCAGTCCATCAAACGGTGCAGCTTCATAGCTTACCAAAGTCGTACTAAAACATTTTTTGACAGATTTCTGCGCACCTTTACTACATAAAATCTGTTCGAGGTCAGTAAGCACAACCACAATTCATACATAAAGCACACTGTCAATTTTTGAGAAAATTAAAGGATTTTAAGTGTGCCTTATAGTTTGTAAAATACGTTATACAGAAGGAAAGAATATATCGCAATATATATCGTTACCGCACATGCTTCAAATTATACTGTGATATGGATTTTAGGCCATATCGCCCAGCCCTACTTGCTGTCTCTGCAGGTCAGCAAATTATAGTTTCACTCTCTGCAATGTTTTTTTTTGTTCCACCAATCTCCCTGTCTGGATCAGTTCCTCTCACCATTCTCTTTGCGCAGTCGTGTGATAAACTTCTTGGGTGGTATGACTCCCACTTTCCTTTTCTGATTGGCAATGCTGTGAAACAGATCAGCCAGACAGGTAAGCAGGTTCTCCTTCCGTCGAGGCTGACTCCGGTACGCCAAGATCTTCTCCCGAAAAGGCCGGCAGAAGTACAGAGCCTGCAGCACTGAGTTGCAATAGCAAGTGTTTCCAAACTACAAACAAGAGGAAAACCCAATGTGAGCACTTGTCAGGTACAGATGCAACACAGGTAGTGTTACTGCTCACTTACATTGACCAGACCAAAGTAGTGCTCATTGACTGGAAACTGCTCAGATCCAATCTCTTTCTCCAGAGCAGAGGCATTGGCGCCCTGTAAACACAGCAGACAGACAAATATTTTACTGTCCTCAAACAAGACAGATAATTTTCTTCAACACTGCATCCGAATCCCAATGCAAATCCTGTCTTAGCTTCACATTTTCAAGGTCATGTATGCTGCTATAAATGGAAAAAAAACAGTGGGTGCTTAAAGCTCCAAGACCAGCTTTTTTCATATTAAACCTTTTTTTGCCAGGAGTCATAATTCCTTAACTGTTCTTAGACACAACTCAAGTCAACACGAGAAGCAAAACTGATCAAAACTGCATGTTTCAGAACAGAAAACGTTCAATTTCAAAGGTTTCTGAAGTTTACGATGACTCGGTGGGTGCATATGTATCCCTTTGGTATTATTTAGTACGGGTGAAAGGCTAGGACGCGCCGTGCAGACAGCAACAAACTGTGCAGAGTAGATCTGGACCTGGAATGGGTCCACAACTGCGCAGCTAATGTTAAACAATGTCGTCATTGCCCGCGTTAATATTATCTGGCAGATTCCCACGACAACTTGTCTGTTCTCCTCATTGTTTTCCCGTCACATACCGCAGATTAATCCTCGGAAGTCACCCATTATCCAGCTGTGTTTCAGTTGCTGGCAAGCAGAAACACTGGTTTAGCTTTAGTTACCTTCACGTTAGCTAGTTAGCTGTAAATCACAGGTGCAGCAGGTGCACTGTCACCGGGGAAGCTGTGAGAAATGTTAACCAAATAAGTCGTCAAGCTATGAGTAATAAAGCAGCAAGCATTCCCGTGTGCCCGTCAACTGTCGTTAACAAAAAGCGGGGAGCGGAGAAGGCGGTGGGTGGCTGCTTGCTTGGCTGGGCTATAGACGAAAAACTGCTTGGCTAGCACTGGCAGCAAAATTTACTGCTTTCATTTCTAATTCCACGGCTTAAAACGCCAATAGCAGCGCAGCCGCGGTTTCCGTACCACCCTATAGTCTGACTAATAACAGTATGAGACTGCCGCGCACTTACCATGGTACAAAAAGAGGCAAATTTGGAGACTGTCATTAGGATTTCCATTCGGCTAGCGCCATCTTCCACCACACCGCAGCGCGCTGACAAGACTGGGCTGGCTCCCCTCGTGAGGGTAGATTCTGCGGAGCTCGCGACGGAAGGTCCAATTGCTCAAGAACGCGAGAGCGTTCTCTGTCGGGTGCTTCCGTTTTAGCTTTAATCACGGAAGTGAGTAGCTTCAATACAGCGTATATAAAAAAGCTTGTGGCTATTGTATCCACACATTATGACATTTCTTCGATGCCTACTCAGATGCAGTTATCTGGCGAATAAAAATCAAGCAATATCACGTGACGTGTTGTTGAGGCCCATGTCACTGAAGAAATTAAAGGTTGACTGAAGTCAAGTGTTGCGCATGCTTACATTGCATCCAGAGCCATTGAGTAAGTCCTCATTGCGTTGCACACAACTGTTCTTCTATGTTCATTTTTTCTTTTTTCAAATAATTTATTTTAAGACTGCCATTCTAGGACAAAATTTAATCAAATTTAATTAAGTAAATACCTAGCGTTAAAATTACCGGAACAAATAATAAATTTGCGAGAAAACACATATGACAGACGTGTCAAACATATAATTCTGGGACCTGAACAGGCCCGCAAAGGGGTTCAGTCTTGCACACTGATGGCTTTTCAAAATGTGAAAATTAGAGGAAGGAGGGTATCAACTAAATTCAATCAGTTCAATAGATAGATAGATAGATGTGTAGTTAAACATCCCTACAATGAAAGAACGTGAAAAAGATGATATTATCTATATAAAGTTAGTTTCACTGATCCACCCTGCTAATGATCACAATACAGATCTATTTTTACATTTGTTATTTTAACCTATATAGGCATTTCAGGTTATGAATTAAAAAATTTGGCTAAAATAATCTTAAAAAATTAATGAAACATTGTTCAGTACTAGGAAAATTTGGATTTTTGTATTTTAATATTAAAAATATACCACAGTCCTAAAATATGCCCCAAAACACAACATACTTCATACCGTGTACATTATAACATACCATAATAGACCCATTTCTGTAATATACTCACATATCTATATTATTGCTAATATATATTGTAATATATCTATATCACTAAAGCACTTCTGGATGGATGCAAACTGCATTTCGTTGCCCTGTACCTGTGCATGTGCAATGACAATAAAGTTGAATTCTATTCTAAATTCTAAAACCCATTTTGTAGTGTTTCCACCAATGTTACTATAGCTAACTAAAGTTAAACATTCATTTGGAAAATATTTTCCAAATGAATGTTTCATTTGGAAAATATTTTATTTAGGTGAAATAAAATTTAAAACTAGACTTATAGAATAAACACGGAAACAATATCATGCGTTTTAAAAACTATCTAGGCTTATAGTAAAATATAATCAGGAAATATCATATTTGTCCACAGAGCCAACCTGATGATGTCTACTTGAGCGTCTGGAAAGTGTTTTTTTGTTGTATTATATTATTGTATTATTCAGCACTTCATAAATGTGAAAGTCTGACAATTGCCATCCATGTACTACAAAACCAAGACTTCTTCATTCGTCTTCAACCTAGGCGTTACCGCTGCTCTCTCTCGGTCGTTTTTTCGTTCAGGCAATCTCACGGGCTTCCTGAATCAGCTTCACAAGGCGGAGTTTCGGGGCCATTGCTCTCTCTTTCCGCCGTACCCGCCATCTTGTAGAGACCGGGGGTAAGATGTTCTCTGTTTAAAAGTCGAATTTCATCTATATTATCCCTTCTTACATTCACAGTTTCACTTATATATCCACCGCAGTTGTTCCCTCATGCTCCACGGTGTTGTTAATGGTTGAAAATGCGTCACTGGGAGTAGTTTTCTCCGTTTACAGCCCTCCGGTTCAGTAGCGTGGCTCTCCATGTGGGCCTGCCAGGCAGAGGAGCGTTTAATAGAAGCAGTTTTTTTGCTCCCTCCGAAACCCTTTTATTCCTACTGAAAGACACGAAACACCGATATTTTACATTTTCATTAAAGCGTTTTTCATGACGTGGCTCTAAAATGTTAGTTACCGCTCAGTATAGCGGACTGAATTGTCCCTGCTAGTCTGTGCATTGCTATGTTTCGTGATACGCTGGCTATGTATAGTAGTTTTGTAGGCTAATGCACCTCTGTTGTTGAAAAGTGAGGGATATTTGGGGTCGTGTATTTTATTTATCGGCTGTTTGTGTAGAAAGAGCTCATTCAGCAGGTTTGTAGTCATGTGACGAATATGAACTTCCACGTGTTTATGTTACAATGTTGAAAACAATGTTTTCTCTAAGTGACAGTCGGTCTAATTTCCCATCATCTGGCGCATTTAGATATAAATAAACTCCTTTATTGACTTATATTATTATACACCTGCTAAAATTACGTGTTTACATTAGTAGGCAATGGTCACACTTACGTGTGTCTAATCTAAGTGTTTTCTCTCAGTAATCAGGCATCATGACGAACACCAGAGGCAAGAGGAGGGGGACCAGGTACATGTTCAGCAGGCCATTCCGCAAGCATGGTGAGTCCCAAGTTTGAAGTGCAGGTAAACTGCTCACAAGTGTGTGTATAAAGTCTGTAACGTGTCTTTCCTTCTCTCTCTTTCACAGGCCCAATCCCTCTGTCCACTTACATGCGTATCTACAAGAAGGGAGACATTGTTGACATCAAGGTAAGCAAGATCAAAGCACTACCTGACTGAGACACCCCAGTGATTATGAAGTAAATGTGCTGAGTTCTTTATAAAGTGCTTTGGGAAATGTGCATGTCTTAAAATGTGTTTTAATGACCAAGTGTGCCTAATTCAAATCAGACCTAATTTAAATAAAAGCATCACATGTTGAGCAGCTACTCCCCATGAGAAAGAATTTGACAAGTGGTTTGTAGAAATGCAACTGATAAAACTATTATGATTTTGTTTCAGGGCACAGGAACCGTTCAGAAAGGTATGCCTCATAAATGCTACCACGGCAAGACAGGACGCATCTACAATGTAACCCAACATGCTGTCGGCATCATTGTCAACAAGCAGGTCAAGTAAGTAAGATCCTTTATTTTTGGATGTTTGGATTTGTGCACTTTGAGCTAGCACACACCAGATGACTTAGAACGTCTACAAATAAAAGAATCTAATAACTAATCAGAGAAACTGTTGATCAACTTGGCATGGCCGGGTTAAGTCTTGATTCCAACTATGTGATCATTATTGTCTGCTCTCACTGGTGTGTGTTGGCTCATGCACTTTACCTAGTGAGAGGAAAGATGACCCCATCTTCACTTTGCTACCATGAACCGTTCTGTCCATGGTGGCCATTCATGTGGGGGAAAGCATTTCATCCTTAAGAATCCCAGCATACCTTCCTCTGTGTTGACCTGGGATTTTATGCAGGAGACATTTGGACATTGAAAGACCATTTTCACAACACAATTAAAGGAAACGTTACCATTGCCCAGTTTCTTTTTTTTAATAAACTGTTAATTGAAATTGTTCACACTCACAGAGGCAAGATCCTGGCCAAGAGGATTAATGTGCGTATTGAGCACGTGAAGCACTCAAAGAGCAGGGACAGCTTCCTGCAGCGCGTTAAGGAAAATGAGCGCAAGAAGCTGGAGGCCAAGCAGAAGGGCACCTGGGTGGAACTGAAGCGCCAGGTATGAGCCGAGTTTATTGTAACACGTGAATAGAGAATTGTTAAAGCCTGAAATATTCAAAAAGTAAAAAGACCACCCAGATGTGTAATTTGAATATAATTAGATTTATTAAAGGAGTATTTTTGTGCTTCATTGTATTCATTTTCCTGTCTCCTCAGCCTGCTCCTCCTCGTGAGGCTCACTTTGTCACCACTAAGAGAAATGAGCCACAGCTGCTGGAGCCCATCCCATACGAGTTCATGGCGTAAAGTGCTTGATTAAAATAAAAGATATTTGTACACACACTCCTTGCAGTTGTGTCATCTGTTCACACATTTGATCATGTATTTCTGTGTCATGATGAGCCATCACTCAGTGATGATTCTCCTCCTTTGATTGCTCTAAATGAAATAAAGAGAATTTCATTTCACCGGCGAACTGAGAGTGACTGGCACACATGTCACAAGCATTTCACATCTGCACAGCTGTAGCTGACAGGTTTCTACTAGTTTACATTTCCCCTGTGAGTACACAGGAGGGTAAGGACAATATGGGCGTTTACACCCAAATGCAATAGTGAGAATAATCTTAAATATCGTAAACTTGCTTTCTGAAGAAAGCTGTATGTCTGGATTTGTACACTATCTCAGTTAGATCTGTGAAAACCAGACAAACTTCCCCTGTTCTGGATCATGTGTCCATATCTTCTCAGTAATGCCAAACAAAAGTAATAAATTACAATTTGTATAAAAAGGGGTGCAGGGTAGCACTGTTGTGTCACCGCAAGAAGGTCCTATGAGCAGGGTTTGACTCCACCATCTGTCCGGGGATTTTCTGTGTGGAGTTTTCACGTTCTCCCCATGTTTGGTGGGTTCTCTCTGGGTACGCTGGTTTCCTCCCACAGTCCAAAGAAATGCACTAGTGGGGTTAGGTTTATTGGTAATTCTAAATTGTCCATATGTGAGTGTAAATGATTGGCTCTGTAACAGGGCAGCAACCTGTAAAGGGTTGCCGCCCCACTTCTTGCTCTGTGGGTAGCTGTTTCCCTGATAAGTGGAAGGGCATTGATAAAAGGGGGAATGACTTTAAATGAGAAAAAGCGATGGCACTGATTATACAACAGAGAAAAGCTCAGTTTTCTGGAGGTTTTTAAGAGCTAAATTTATTGTCATAACGATTGCTCAATTACAGTGTCTGGCAACACCAACACTACGTTAACACTCCAGACCTTTAAAAAAAAAAAAGCAACTTTTGGTTTGAAAAGGTGAACTCAGAATGCTGAGCATTTCTGTATAAAAAATGAGCAAATAATGACATTTTCAGCTATCAGTTAATCTATAGTGTTGTTTTTTAAATTATATTTACCACTTATCTAATTATTTATGATATATTATTATTATGTTATTTATCATTCACTGGTTTGTCACTACAGACCCATTCACTCCTGCAAAGCGTGAAAGCAAGCCTCGGTTTCAGAGTCTAAATTGTTGCCACGTGTTTATTAAATGAAACAAAACAGCTTTGAATCTTGCAGTTTAATTTAGTGATACAGAAACAGAATGCATGTATCACTCATTAAATATCATCAAAGGGGAGAAAATGAAGCCCGAGAGTTCCCTGGGAGAATTAAAAAATAAAAATGGTGATTAGGTGTGTGCAAGTTAGATCGAGCAGGCAAATGAAAATGCATATCAGGTCTCAGTCAGGTAGCTGGGTTTCT